TCTTTCTTCCTAACAGAAACATCAAGTTGTTTCTACCCCTCTCAGTAATTGAGTATTCTACTTTGATATCACTGTAAGGATGCCTCAGAGGAGACCACTCTAAATCAGAAGCCCATGCATGGCTTCTCTGTTCTAAAAGCCACTACCACTCCACAAAGAGGAAAATACACAAGGGAACATCTCACCCAGGGCATCAGGGGTCACCATCCAGAATAAATAATTTATCTCTCCATGAATAATCTTGATCATCACAACCTGTATGGGCTTCACTACCAGCCACTGGCTAATGTTTCCTTGCTTAAATCAATCCATCATATCCATGTGCTCAGTCATCTCTTCACTGTCACCAGGACTGTCCATGGTTACACACTGTCACTAGAGGTATAAAAAAGCATCACATCTTTAGGGTCACTGAAATTAGTTTCTTCTCTGGTTCCTATATGGAGTCACTTGGTTTCCTATGGAAATTATTACTTATCTGGTGACCACATTTAAAAAGAAAACCTGCAGCATGAGTGTCACACTCATGTCAAGGCCAGTTCTTCACCCTGCATAGATGTAAGCATCTTGTGGCATCTTAATAAAAATATCACTATTATGAGTGATAATTGCTTTTCATTTCAAATAAAACATTTTATAAACACGATTTTCCAGATAACTTAATCAATAACTAACCAGTACTACTCTTTCTTCCTAGGGTTAATAAGAAAAACTAGAGTTTAAGAAGCTACTTAAGAGATTACTTGAGCCATGTACCTTCATTTCTGGCTTGTGATCAGGCTGATACATACAAGAATGTGAATTCTACTGAGGCAGCCACCACACTAAATGCATTACATACACTATCTCTCATCTCCCTATAAAACTTCATTGGGTAAATTTATCTCTATTTTCCTGGAGTCAAGATATATCCCTTTCCCCAAGTCACAACTGCTAATTGGCACACTGAAATCTGAACCCAGGACGCTAATACCTGCTTTTGTACCACTGAGATTCATGAAAAAGAGAAGTCAGGCCAGGAGAGGGACAATTTTGGCTACATACCTCATATAATTCAATAATGATGTTCCCCATTAGACCTCGGCTGCTTTTAATGTTCTCCATAGCCAGGGTAAAGTAGATCCCACGTGTGTCTGAGATGTAGAGGTTGTAGGTGTCATTCTGGTTCCACTCTTGGACGGCTGCAAACACTTGGTTCTCATCTGTACTGATGATGTGCATGTCCTATAAGAAGAAGGAAAATCCATAAAGCACTAGATCTCCATCTCTCTCTGCCCAGTGGGAACCCCAGTAATTACCATGACTTATGAAATGGTTGAGAAAAAGCTTGAGTTATAGGCAATGTTAACCAATTCTATGTTGGACCAAGGCAATAAATTACGCACTTCATGATTTCTGTTCCTTACTTAGTAACAGCAAGATAGGTGTAAGGGGCTTTGGTGGGTATCATTCTCCATGGCTTTGAGGAATTCACCCACTTTCATTTTTTATTTTTAAATCTGAAAGTTAGTGTTAATGCTAACAGGGAGTTGTGCAGCTTACAAGAAGAAGCTCACACATGCAAAGAAGCAGGACCTATCCTATCAATTGTCCTTCACATGTGTTTTTAAATTTTGTAGTATAGTGGCTCACATACTTTTGTCTAGAATCTACAGCATCCAGAGGAGTGGGTTAGAGGGCATAGCCAATGCAGGCTCTAGACCTTCAATTCTGCTTTAACCATAGAAACCATCACTAGGATCCATTACACATACAGGAGTTTCGTGCAGTTTTTTTAAAGTAAAGTATTATAAGAGAAGATCTTCTTCTAAAAGCAGAATTTGAAAATCATCAGTAGAGAAAAAAAGAATGCTCAACCTAGAATTTAGTGCTCTGGATCCTAATAGAAGCTCTGTTATGTCATTTATATTATTGTTGAATGTGTCAGTCTCCCTGGATTTCATTTTCTATACTAAATATTGAAAAAAGGTAGAATACCAAGAAAAACACTCAGTACTTGGTCACTATTTTAAGTTGTCCAAATGTATTTTTTAAAATTGAAAATCAAAGTTATTCTGTGATGGAGGTAGTAGCACTATTTCCATTTTACTGAAGAGTAAACTAAGGCACAGTGAGGTTCAACAATTTGCTTTAGTTTACATAGCTACTAAAGTACACAACTAGGTTCTTAAATCCCAAGGTTTGATTCTAAGCTGGAGATTGGATTCTAAATACTGCATAGGTACCCTCAAATCAGGGTTTCCAAACTGATGACTGGTGAAATGAACAATGACCATAAATGCTCATTTTGGCCATATCCTGTATTAAATATCTGAATTTCTGGTCATTAGATGAAGTTGGCACCTTTGAACCTCAAGTCTTGTACACCTCCACATTCTTAAGAGCTACCACTTACATACTATCATTAATTTCCTGGTCCCTGAAGTCACTTTAGTTTATAATTCTTTAGTATGGATAATTTCTAAAATCACAATTCAAAATAATTTACAAAATTCAGTTTGCATATATGTGTAGACACTGTACCAAGATTACCACAAGTTCAAGACCTTATCAAGGGAACTCATATTGTCAGTAAGACATGATGACATGGAAAAATCTGTTTAAATAGCTGTTTTTTATGCATGTACACATAATCTGGGTGCAGTGTTGCATGTCTGCAATCCCAGCTATTTGGGTGGTTGAAGTAGGAGGATTTCAAGGCCAGACTTGGCAACTTAAGCAAGATCCTGTCTCAAAATTTTTTAAAAATTATCAAAGTACTAAGGGTGTAGACCAGTTGTAGAGTGCTCCTAGGTTAAATTTCCAGTACTGGAAAACAAAAACAAAAACAAAATCTCCCCAAATTTATCAATCAATCTACAATTGTGTTGTCAAAATGTAATAGCAGAGGGGGAATCATCCTTGTACCTGTGGTGGAATGTGCTCACAATAGGACCTTGGACAATTGAAGATGACAATAATAATCAGACTGGGTCTAATTTTTCCTTATGTGATCAACCTATCCCCAAAACTGTTCAAGTCAAAAGCGGCAGCAATATCTTCAACATCAGCACCACGGACAGGTCCTTCAAGGTGAAGGAGTCCATTTGATTTGGACAACTGGGAGATGGGAGGAGTAGGAAAAGAAATTCTGAACTTTTATTGGAGCTCCTTTATCCTGAACTTCCTGGCCTTGAACCCTCTGGGTCACCTTGACTAAAACCTCACTTGCTCATTTGTGTTTATGTATTTTGTAGAATTATAGGTTCTTGCTGAGCTGCTTGAAAACGGAGAGAATCTTCCTCTTAAAAACCATGTGATGGAATTGTTTTGTGTTGGTGTGGAATGAATGCCCAAGAACCCAGTAGGGGGGGAAAGAGCAGCTGCAGGAAATACAGATTAAATTCACTTATCCTGTTAAAAATGCAATAGAAATTCCAGGTTTTTCCCAGATGTTTTGGTCATAAAAATGAATGAGCTAACTTATTTTAGAGAAAGTTAATGTAAAAGAAGTGGGAACAAAACAACATAAAACACCAGGGCATGGTCAGGATTAGAGGCAGCCGCCTTTACTGCAAGTGCATGTTAGGTAAATACCATTCTGGGAATGGGTAGCCAGTCGCTGGGGTGAGAGACTTCTCTTTAGTATCTAGGATTCAGGGACCACTGCCTGAAAATACCCTTTATCCAAAGTTACACAGCTAACAAATGGCATCACTAATATTTAAACTCAAGACTGTCTTAAGTAAGAAGATAACTTTTTAAACAATTCTATCAGTGAGGATATAATTTCAGTGTGCCTCCAAATGACCTGGAGATCTTGGTCAGTTTCTTTTTATTCTTTTCTTTTTAAGAGATGGGTTTTGCTAATTGTTCAGATTGGCTTCAAATTTCTGGGCTCAAGCAATCTTACTTCCTTGGTCTCTCAAGTAGCCAGGATTACAGGCAGGCACCACAGGGATCAACTAAATCTGGAGATCTCAATAACATGCAGATCATGGGAACCACCGCATGAACTCATGATTCAGTGCGTCTGGTATACAGCCTTATATTTTACCAGCAGATAAAACCCTCCAAATGATTCTTGTGCTTCTAAGCCTGAAGAATCATTCTTCAAAAATTGTGAACTTTGTGACCTCTCTCCAAATAAGTCTTATGATTGAACAGGGGTCAACCGATAATAACCAGAATATCAAATCTTCAAGAAAAAAAAATAGAACTATTATGAATTTAAATTGGTCCAATAGAGTTCTAGACAATAACAAAGCTTTTTCTTAAATCCAATTATTTCAATCAAACTCCAGAGCATATGCCCCTTCCTTATATGCCGGTCTTGAGAATGTGCAGAAACAAATTTGGTGATGAAGAGAGAAGATGAAGGAAGAAAATATTAAGTAAAACTATATCCAGATTGATATTTTTCCACAGTTGGAATTCAAAGAGCATCAGACATAACTACATAGATGCTTCTATTTGGAAAACAATGATAAATAACACTCCTCCTCTGCCCTCCCAACAATGATTTAGGAGATTCAAAATTGATTTTTGAAAAAACAAAACCTATGACTTCTATGTGAACAATGTTGGAATACTTTCTTGCTCTTGAAATATTTTCTTATAATCTGGGCCTGCCATAATTATATAATCACCTATATCATCAAAAATTGGCCATGTACAAGATACTATGAGAGAGAGAGAGAGAGAGAGAGAGAGAGAGAGAGAGAGAGAGAGAGAGAGAGAGAGAGAGAACCCGGCCCCAAGGAGATGCCTCCTGATGGTGGAGATAGTATATACCTTGTGGCCTTTTTTGACTAAATGCTATAATAGAGGCACAGAATGTAGTGACTGGAATACAAGGCCTACAGACAGGGGGGACATTCAAGGATATAAATGTGTGTAACTCAGTACAGTTTGAAGTGCAGCTTCCTCTGCAGGAGGTGAGTGTATAGGGGCCACATCACAATGGGATCTATGTGGCATACCTAACCTTCATTTAGGTAGCACAGAGCTCCCACAAGGGTTCAAGTGGGAGAAAGGCAGTTATTTGGTTGGAGAGCATAAGGTCCCTGTGTGATCAAAGGCACTGTGGAATCAGTGTGAAGGGTGGATTTAAGTGGGGTAATGCTAGAGGCAAGGGAGGAAGGCTTAAAAGGTCACTTCAATCATCTAGGCAAGAATGACTGAGGGCCTAAGGAAGTAGGTTCTTTCTGAAGGCTACTATGAAATAGACCTGTAAGATGTTAAAGAGGCACAATTTACAGGGGACAGGGAAAAGGACCCATCTACAAAGCTTCAGATATCTGACTTACAAATTCTCTGCTTTTCCTTTCCATCATTCATTACAGTCATAAGTAGGTAAGCACTTTTGATTTTTCTGTGCGATGTCTTTCACTCACATTTGATGTCTTTGAAATTCTAGAGAGCAGAAAATGTCTTTCTTATCACTCTGTCTACAGTACTTATCAGATTGTCTAGCCCATGGTACGCATCCAACCAAAGCTTACTGCATAAATAAATGGAATATGCAAATATATATCAGAGGAAGAGGAGACACAAGAAATACAAGGTGTAGACAGGAGCTCTGGTCTGGACTAAATACATGGGTCTTTAAGAGCATGTACTTCAAACTACATGGTTTAGAGTTCTAAGTGTAGGGGTGGTATGAGGTTTGGTATGTAGGTGGACACTGATAACAAGACCTGCAGGATTTTTAGAGAAACCATGGATAGCTGGACATGAAGGCAGAGGGCAAGTAGCACTGAGATGGAGAACAAACAGAAAGTAAGAACAGATTACAATTACAGTTGATACAGCGGAGAAGGATAAATCAGGAATTGCAGAAATGTACACACTAAGGAGACCAAAGGTTAATATCATTTTCACTATTATTATAAAACATTTTATAAGATGTATCGCTTTCTTCTATTATTCAAAATAGGATTAACTGTATTCTATTGTCGAAGAACAACAAACCCAAACCTGGGTAAAAGGAGACTACTGAAGGGAGAATATCCTGACTATGATATCTGCAAGCATCTCAGAAAGAAAGCAGAAAAATAATTATTTTTATAAGCAAAGTAAAATAAGACTAGGAAGAACTGGGCATGGGGAGTCCCGTAAGCAGGTGGCATGATGGAACAAATCAAATGACTTGGGGTCAAGTGATCCTTAGGAGGGCTGTGAAGGAGGGCTGTTTCTCCCTTGCACTGTTTGCTGAAGCATCCAGTGCTTGCACAAACTCAAGAGTAGGGCAAAGTTCAAGGACCGAGGGGAGGGGGAAAGTCACATTTAATTTTGGTCAACTCAAATTTTCAGGTATTTTGTCCAGATTAGCCAATAGAACAAAAGTTCAGCTATTCATTTATGAGACAAAAAAGAGACTGCTCTTGTTGTAGGTAAACAAGGCAGACATCTAAGTCTTATCAAGTCATGGGGGAGGGTAGATAGCAGCAAACCACTTCCCAAACACAAAACATGGGAATTTCTTAACCTTGGCCATTTTTCCAGGAACATGGTGCTCAGGCAAGGTTCAACACACTACCAACCTGAATCCCCTACTGAAAAAAAAAAAACCAAAATTTTTCTGTTGTAGAAATGATTAGCAGAATAGCAAGTTAAAATGAATGCAGAATCTAAGTGCTGGGGAATGATATTGGCCAAATGTATTGTTATAGCATATACATGTGGGAATATGTAACAATAAATCTTACCATTATATACAACTATAATGCACAATAAAAATTTTTTTGAAAAATAAGGTAGAATCTAAGAGACAAAACAGGGTATATCAGACTCAGAATTTAGGCAATATGGAGCCCAAAGTCAACTGACATGTGTTCCCCTCAGAATCTCCATGCCAGGCAAATTAAGAACATTAGTATTATTTTTTTTTTAATCAGACTCATTCTTGAGATATATCAAGCATTTTCCACTGGACAAGCAGAAAAGCATTCATTGAACCATCACAACCTGTCCATTTCACAGACAAGAAGATTAAGTAAGTGGCAGAGCCAGAATGAAGCTCAACTGGCTTTTCTCTAGGACACCATACCCTCTATCATCTGCCACCAGGCTTTCCGCTGGCACATGCTCTTCATGCCTACGGTCTGAGAGTGCCAATCCAATGCCCAGGGACTGAGTTATGTTGGGTCCAGCACAAGCTGCTGTTCCTTATAATGCTGTATATCCTAATGACACTCATTTTACTCTGCAAAACACTCCAAAACCAGGGAGTACATATTCTGAGAAGACAGGCTGGGATCAGAAATAACAAGGGCATTGGTGACAGGGAGCTTTCCCATGCTTTTATTCTTAAGTAAGACTCCTAAGGGGGACCACAGTGCCGCCATACGGAACAGAAAGACTTGCTTAAAATCCATATCCATTTTTAAACAATGGAAAGAACCAGTCTCCCTTTCCCCCTCTGTCCCCACCTCCTTATCCCTGACTCTGAAAATCTGGGCCAACACCAGGTAATAAAGGGGGTCGATAACCATCCAGTTACTCTCACAGCAGCCTGCATATCAATGAGAAGCAACTCCAGGTGAAGTTCTATAAGGGGGCTGCATGGATCACCTGATATGCCCCCACAATACTCTGTCACTGGCTTACAAATCGTTGATGGAGCTCTTAGGTGGTAATCAATTCAAGGCCTCATTTTTTCCCACCTGCAGCCACATTGCTCAGGGTAGTAAACTATTTGTTTTACTAAGAAGGTTAAAATACATAAAATTCACACATCTACAGAGATGGAAGGAGCCTATGTTGAAGCCATGGTTTGGAAAGTTCCTGGAACTCATTTCTTAGGCCAATAGATGAGGACCTTCTGGCTACTATGAGGAAAGCATTCTCCTTTAGGAAGAGCATGATTATGAATTTTCCCTTTCCAGTCTTCTCTAGGCCAGGATAACTCTGCCCTGCTTGGGTTTAGAATATGCGATGGGCATGTCCTGCAGTCACAATCCTAGATGATGGCCCTATGAAGACCAGTCATCGTTAAGGTAGGGGAATGAAAAAATCAGTTCTCACTGCCCTGTAGGATATTTGATATGGGCTCTACCCATCTCCTCAGCCTCAGCTGCTCTCTTCAGTCTTGTCTTTTAAGATGGCTTTTTAGTTAGTAAAATGAACCGTGCTTTCTCTTAAAATAAGGACCATGCACATCCAGTTAGCCTTCCAGATCCATGGGTTCCATGGATTCCACTAGCTACAGATACAAACTATAGTTAGGCCTGTATCTGTGCCACGCAAATACAAATTTTTTGTTCTTGTCATTATTATCTTAACAATACAACAACAACTTACACAGCATTTACATTGCAGTAGGTATTATAAGTAATTTACAGATGATTTAAAGTTTATGGGAGAAAGTGCACATGCAAACACTATACCATTTTACATAAGGAACTTGAGTATCCATGAATTTTGGGAACTGTGAGGATCACTTATCTGTGCACTTTAATGCACACACACATAGCGTCTGTGCTCCTGCCTGAACTTGACCTTCTGTTTGGCAATAAGGACTTTGCAAAAGGGAAGGGCCTCAGAAGAGATTTCAAAGCCAGTGCTTTGAAAACAATCCCCTACAGATCACAAGGAACAACTATATTTTCTATCAGCTTTTCTTTACCCGTGTGTTAGTTTATACTTCACTTCCTCTAGGAAACTGCTCTTTCCACTCATATTCATCTATCTTCACCTCCCTGAACACTGGATCCCCTACACTACACCTACAATTGGTTGCTTAATTCCTCTATTCTCTACCAGACCCTATGATTCAGGAAAGTAGGATCATTTGTGTTTTAAGCACTACTCTACCCATAGAGTTTAGTTCAGTGTTTGGTGTGGAAAAACCATTTATGTGGAAGAAAAAACAGTTAAAGGGATATATCAAAAGAAGAACCAAATGGATGGATGGATGGATGGATGCAAGAAAGCCAGAATGAATATAAACACAAGTGGATAGGAGATTATCCACCTTTTTATCCTATAATTCTCCATCTCTGCACTCATTTAGTCTTTCAGCATTTCTAGTACTAGTTTAGAGGCCCATGTCTTTGCCACATTACACTTGATATGTGTCCAGCTGGAGACTTGCCTCTCTGCAGCCTCATTAAGTGATGCAATTATACCCTGTCCTTGTTCAAACTAAGGTCGTAAGACCCATTTCCCCCCAGAAGCCACTGTTCACAAGAAATGGGGTTCACAGAGTTTTATGATTTTCAAAAGATGAGTTAAAATGTCACTATTTGATGTTAACATTCCAGCAGGTGACCCCATTTTAATTACTCATAGTGGCTGAGAAGAGTGGAAACATGGAAGTGCCTTTATACTTAGCCTTAAAATGTAAAGAGAAGCAAGAAAACCACCAGACTTATCTTTGCACTTTAATGCACACACACGTAACATCTGTGCTCCTGCCTGAACTTGACCTTCTATTTGGCAATAAGGACTTTGAAAAAGGGAAGGGCCTCAGAAGAGATTTCAAAGCCAGTGCTCCTTTCATTATTACCCCTGGGAAATGACCCAAGGTTACACCAGATGTTTGAGTCACAGGAAATCAAAGTTCAGGCCTGGCAACCTGCTCAGAATGGGAATATAGAACCCAGGATTGGGAACATCAGCAGTGGCCAAACCACCCAGGGCTAAGTGAGGCCTCCCAGCCGAGGTCAGACCTCCCTGCAGTCTGGCAAGGCAGCCTCTCCAACCCTCACTTTGTCTGGCAGGTCTCAGGACAGCAGGTGGTATGTGCTGTACCTTCGGCAAGGAGTACTTGGGCAGCTTGATCTGAGCAAAGGCCTCTCTTCGATAGGATACATAGTAGCTGGCTCTTCCACCGGTAGTTACCTGGATTGGGAAAAACACAAAAGAGATCAGATGGGATCACAGATCATGGCACTATTGGAAAGTACTAGCCTCTCCATCAACAACCACAATAGGTTTGTAATTACCTTGTAAAGACTACTTTGCTGGCTCTGAGTGTCCAATCCCACCACACCCTGAGCTGCTCCCATGTCGTACTACTTAGACAATAAATGGGCAATTAAAGCCATTGTTCCCATTACCTGACAGCTGCTGTGAGAGCAGGGACTGATTCTGTATTTGGTTACTGTGTTCTGCACCAGTCTGTGTTTACAATTGTGACAGAGACCTTTTTTTTAAAATAAGTACTTTTAACTAAAAACAGAGACACCATCTATCAACATAGACTTCACTCATTACATATTTGTTCTGCCTTTTTTTTTATTTCTAGCAGTTTATTACTCCTCTGAAACCATGACACAATTGTCAAAGGTATATATTTTTTTATGGATTGGAATAATTACTCTTGCTCAAAACTCATTACTTTAAAATTTAATTTTACTTCTGATCTGAGCACATTTCATTTTTTTTACCTTCACATTTACAAATCTAGGTGTTCAGCAGATCTTTATTGATTCTTTCCATTATAAGTTGATTAAAGGTATCCAAAGTTAGAGGGAAAACTCCAAACCCAAAATTCAGAAATCCTAGGTTTAAGTCCTATTTCTTCTATCTCATAGCTGGCAGTGGGTCAGGGTCAGGGAGAAACCCTGTCACCTCACTTGGGAAAGAACGGATTCTTTGCTGGATGACTTGGACACCACTCCAAGAAAATGGTCCTCTGGCCTGGGTTTGTTGAAAAGTCCTGCCAACATGGCACAGCCCTGCTGATGGCTGCTCAGCCCAATTATCGTAGCTCAGGGGAAATTAATATTCACAGGAGAAGATAACACGGCCTGTTCAGAGAAAATAGCAGGACAACAATAGCAACCAGACTGCTGTGCTGAGGAGGCAATTATTCGAGGCACATGCTCCATTCTCCGCTAAGGTCCAAGCACATGCTGGAGGCCTGCCAGTCCTCCCACTCTCGCTCAAACCTGGCGCCCATCCATAGCAACTGCTGGGAGCAGAAGGGGCGGAACATCTCTATTGAAAGCCACCCATCACTCCTCACTCCAAGTGATAGCCTCTCCCATGGCTCCCCCTTGCTCCACATAGATCAGAAGCCCACATAGCATGTACCCAAGCTGCCAGGTGAAGCAGATGTCAGAATCAGCATGAAGGCAGAACCTTGCAAAAAAATTTGGGGCAGAGGCTCAGGCTGTGAATTAGACTGCTTTTCTGCCTGATATTCAGCACTATCCTGATCTCTATTTTCCAATTAGAAGCACTCTTGTGTTTTAAAACTTCTGTTTCTATTCTGGTAAGACACCTGTTATGAATCCACTGTTCTGTGTTGGCCAAGAGGTGGGTATCGGCATACTTAGATCAATGGGTTGCTAAAGTCTTTTTTTTTTTCTTTTAGAAAGGAACCTCAAATACATAGGATCAGATTAAAATATAATCCCTGAACCTGGACACAGAGTCACTCTTAGTTCTTGCATGATCCTACTTATGTATTTGTTTAATTTGGTTTTATTTTTAATCATAAAAATCAACACATACAAATGTCTCTACCAATCCAAGAACTGGATCAATAGTTTTAAATTTTAGCAGCCAATCAGAATCACCTGGAAAGCTTATTCGAGCTCAGACTGCTGGGCACTTATCTCTGATTCTACAGAGCTAGGTTGGGATTTAAGAATTTTCTTTCTAGTAGTTTCCAGGTGATGCTGATGCTGCTAGTCCAGGGACTACACTTTGAACACAATGGATTTATACCTTTTAACAACAATTTATACCCACCTTCTGCTCCTCACATGTCCTGGCCCCTGCCTCCTTCCCAGAGTCTGTTTACAATGGCGACAGAGACCTTTTTATTTTTTTTTTAAATTGGGTGAAACTAAATCATAACCATTTAAAATTGTATTATTCAACAGCACTTAGTACACTTACAATGTTGTCCGATCATCTTCTCTATTTTGTTCTAAAATATTTTAATTTTCCCAAAAGGAGAAATAAAATAAAGATATTATGTCCATCTGCAACTACAAAAAAAAAATATTTTTTAAAAAATCTAGCTCTTTACAGGACGCTCTGAACATCACCAAACACACTCTTCTTCGAAAGTATACCAGCATTGTATTTCATAACCACATACCTTGTTTGATTTCACAAGCTCACAGCTGGAGAGCCATTTCTCTGAGGATGAATCATCACTTGAGTCTCACCATATCTGACTAAATGATATTATATAAAACTTCAGGCTTAAGACTTTACAGTTGATGTTGGCACAGGACTTTGGGTGCTTTGAGGATAGAATGCATATATTTTGTATGAGAGGATGATAGAAACTTTCGAAAGCCAGTGGTGGAACCCTGTGGTGAAAATGTTTGTATTTTCTCCAAATTCATGTGGAAACTAAATCCCCAATGCAACAGTATTAAAAGGTAGGGGCTTTTAGGAAATGATTGGAACAGGAGGGCTACTCCCTCATGAAAGGATCAGTGGAAGAGCTGGAAGGAGCTACCCAGACCCCTTCTTTCCTTCCTGCCTTGTGAGGATATAGTGTTCAAGGCACCATCTTGGAAGTAAGAGACCAGACATCAGCACTGCCCAGGCTCTGCCTTGATCTTGGACTTCCTCATCTATACAATTGGGAAAAAATAAATTCCTGTTATTTATAAATTATTTAACCTAAGGTATTTTATTACTGAAGGAGAAATAGATTGAGACAGCTGATCTCCTGGCAGATGGTTAGTGGGTACACAAAAATAATGACACAATTAACATTTGTAGAGTTCATGTTCCATGACGCAGAACTACCCAATAGCCCACACATGTAAACTATATAGTTGATCCTCATGGCAACCCTACAGAGGCTACAGGGTACTAAGTGACTTGCCCAAGACAAAATTGAATTCAGAAATTTTGACTCTAAACCTGTATTCCTACTCCTGTGGTAGACTTTGAAGAGTCCTCTATCCATCTTATTCCTCTCACCTTGACTACACATTTCCTTGGTTTTGACATCTTTTGAAAAAGCATTTATGAAGCACTGTAATTGGGCAAATATGTTTATTTGCATTCCTAGAAAATCTATTATTATACTGATGTGGCATTTCTAAAACAATGTCTTCTTAGAAGAGGCAAAGTAATACAAACAAGAGTAATAACTACTCCCAGGAAGCAAGTGTCTATTACATAAAATATAGTATGATACATAGTTTGTATAGCACACCTTATTTGATTCTACATATATTTCTGTGTGAGGAAGATAGATAGATAGGTAGATAGATAGATAAAAAGAATATATATGTATATCATATATATATACTTCCAAATCTAGAGGTTTACAGGTCAGAAAAAGGAGGCTGAGAAAAAAAATGAGTCTGAGAGAGACTGACCAACTTGCCCAACATTACACAGACTTTCACTGTTACAGCTCTAAAATGAATTGGGCTTTCTTAATCCTGCTCATGCCTGAACCCTTAACTAGCAGTAAGCATATCCCCATGGAGCAAGGGGTCAATACCTAGTGACTAACTGAATAATGGGTCATTGGGATCAATCTCCTGAACTGAAGAGATTTTGAGTTTGGGACTCTCCATTGTTTCCTGATTAAATAATGGATGGGATGCCGAGCTCTCCATTTCTGCCCAGTCCCTGGATGGCTGGATGAGCATCCTTCCAGCCAGAAGCTTCCCCTGGTGGTGGGCGGTACCAGGCCAATGCATTTGCTGTCTCTCCACAATTATTTGTGTGGTTCTCTGGCAACTAACTCACAAGTAAGGAATACACTTTAGTGACTATTAATCTATTTTGATGAACTTTTCTCTTCCTTACAAGCAAATTCGCTGGCATTGTAAATCCCAGAGATTATTACCACTTTCCCTTTCAGTGACACCTTTTATTTTACATTTGATGAATGTCATCCAATTATTTGCTCTGGGCCCATCCGTCATGCTAAACACAAAATTAGCTGGGTCTTTTCCTTACTAATGACTGGCTCGTTAATCTGATTTTCTCTATTTCCATTTTACAGGTTTAATTGGGCTCCTGGCCAGTGAAAATGATTCCTTTGGACAAATGCATTGACCATTAAACACATCTGTCTCTTCTGACTTGTTCTCGCTTTCACCGTGACCAAGACTAACCTGACATAGCCTTTATTTTTTTTTTCATTCATCCTATTTCTGAATGATGGCTCCACCATGGAAAATAAAGAAAAATATGCCTGAAAACTGAAACCAAAGGGCTTGGGTCACTTTCTAGCCCTGTTGGAGATTCAGAAGTTGAGCCTTTTTTTTCCATAGATAAAAGAAAAGCAGCAGTGTTTCTAGAATTTATAAGTAGACATAAGGAACCCAACAAGAGGGACAGAAACCAACATTTTTGAGTACCTATTTTATGTTGAATGCTTTACTTCCATGGTATTATTTCATGTCCACAATAATAATTGTGGTATTATTATTGTTATTGCTAATAATATTCCTAGCATCCTGTTAAGTAAAAACGTTAACAGCAGATAAAAAATTTTGAGTACTTCATACACCAAGCACCATTCCTGTGCACACACTGGCCTTCAATTTTATGTTCAGAGTTCAGATGAGGAAATTGACACATAGGGAAGTCACACAACATACTCAGAGACACACAGCGAGAAAATGGTGGAGCCAGAATTTGAACCCGAATTTATTTGTTTTCACAGCTTATGTAAGGTCCTCAGGCTGTGTGAGAGAGGTATGGATTCCATGTCACTCAGCTCCCAATTTCCTGGATAAGATGCCTACCAACAAGGCAGATCTTTCTACAGGAGGGCTCCTGTCAATTTCTCAGTCCTGAGAAATCAATGCCCTATTGTTGCACGGGAGTGAATAGTGCTGCTATTGGAGTTCGTGAATAAGAAGGACTATAATGGAAATAAATTCAGCTTGTCCAAGAGCTGTTGCCTTCGTAGGGAATGACATTTAGAAGCATTTCCATTTAGAGACCCAAGCTGGGTCCAACACAATGTGGATAATCTCTCTAAGCCAAAAAAAAAAAAAATGACCACCTTTGAAGCATACCTGAGTTACTTCTCACATAGCCTTCGCTCTGCTTCCCCCACCCAGACTCTTAAAGAGGTGAAAACAACAGCCAAGCTGTTATGATGCACAATTAACTTTCCAATTTCCTTGCTCATTAATTCTATTCAGATTATTTAAAATAAATCTTGATGCTGTTAGGCTTTTCTCGCCCTCTCCACCTACATAATTCCTTCAAAGATCAAGTTTCTCTTTTAAGAACAAAGAAACAAGCTAATGACTACTGTGCCACAAGAGTAAACACACTTGTGCACCTGTAGTCCCAGCTACTTTTCAGGGTAAGGCCTGGAGACCACTTGAGGTTCAAGAACACCCTAGATAGACAAACACCAGCCATAGGTCTCATGAGGAAGTTACTATAGCTTCTGGAAGGTCAAGATGGCCCTGGTGACATTGTCATGGAAAGTTAGATTGCCTTTGCCAACTTGAGCTCATCATTGGTGACATTGTCATGGAAAGTTAGATTGCCTTTGCCAACTTGAGCTCATCTTCCAAAACTGCTTTGCTGAGGTACCATACCATGCATCTGAATCAAAGCTGTGGTGAAGCATTTGGAAAAACATGGTATGCTATCACCAAGCTGTCTCCTGCGCTAGGCTGTTTGACTTTGAATTTAGTGTCTATCTAACTGATATTTGCTCATTTTATGTCCTGGAGACTCTGTGATATTAATGTAATATGCAGTTTTATCTTCCTGTGTCTAGAAACAGTGGGTCTATTACCTTATACAGGAACATTGCATTAAGTTTGGACCTCTTTGAAACAGAGTTGCACATAAAGTGTTTTATTGGTACCCAAACATAATAGCCAACAAATAGCATCACCAAGAATAGATCTGGGATAAAAGAGTTGATATTGAAGCCAATATTGCATATACTTTCTCTTTCTCTTGGTGTGTGTGTGTGTGTGTGTGTGTGTGTGTGTGTGTGTGTTCTCCCGCATGTGCAGGGGAGATGTTGTAGGGAAGACACATTCTGAGGTTGCTGGTGCACTCACTGGCCAAAAAATACTGATGAAGCAGCTGGCACCATCATAGCTCTGCCAAGCAACTCATTGTGTCCTTCATTGCCTTTTGGAAATGCCAGTGAGGCAGAGATAAGGTGACAAGTTAGAAAACCACAGGGCAATGAGTTTATGGCTAGACCACACATGGCTAAACCAAGAATTAGTATACCTAACTCCTGACTGCATTTCTTCAAATACAAAAAGGCATTTGATCAATTTCCAATTATATATTTCTATAGATACATATATATAATGAATATATATAATATATACATATATACTACATATACTATATATTATATATCAACATATATCAATATATCAACATATATATAATATATAACATATATCAATATATAAATATACTATGAATATACATTTTTTCCAAAGAAGACTCCTTATCTGATTTTTAAGCACTTAAATATATTAATTGGGATCTCAGAACTTTGACTCTGGCTTCTACCTCTTGCTGGCTTGGTGACTTTGGACAGGTAATTTAACCTTCTTAATTTCCTCTTCTAGAAAACAGAGATAGTACTACTACCTGTGGACAAGTTGATCATGAGGATTAAGTGCTGCAGTGTTAAGGAGCAGCTGATGCTCAGTAAGTTGCTCACTGTGTATCACTCATCGCTGCAGAGCAAGAGG